CCATGTGGGTATCTCACCGGCCAGCCAGGATGGAACCAGTGCTACAGAGGCTGTGGACAGCTTCATGGTGCTGTGCTCAACCACTGTACCACCAGGGGAGGCCCAAACATGCTGGCTTCTTGTAAACAAAATATTAGATATTTTATTCAGTATATAAATTCTAGCCAGTGCTTCACAGTGGAGGTTCTAATATGTTACATTATAATGTATTCTATTCTATTCTATTTTACTTTACTAAGTTATATAATACAAAATAACATTTGTAAGCCGTTTACTCCATCTAGGGTATCTTGTGTCCTGGTTGATATTTACTTTTCCTTAAATACCAAAAGTACCATATGAGGTAGATAACTCTGATAATCCTGATTTTGTGATATTACACACACAGAAATACTGAACATTTACTATATGGTAAGCATTGTTACCAGACTGGCAATTATAGCAAGGGACAAAGATAAAGTTCTTGATCTCATGGAGCTTATGTTCTATATTTTATACACTTGTTACAATATGCAAATGAACAGTTGGTAACAAGGTAACGTGAATGCTAAAAAGAAAAATAGAACACATAAGAAAATAGAAAAAAAAGCATTGGTTAAAAAAAGCATTGGTGCTGTTTGAAGTGTGTGGGCAGGGTCCCCTCTGTGAACTTGAAGCAGATCTGTGAGGGAGGTGAGCCCATGAGCATCACCAATGGATGTTCTATGAGGAGGGTGGAGCTGTGCAGAGAGTGTACAGTGAGTGTACAGTGAGTGTGGGTGGTGTGGAGGCCGGTATGGTTGGGGCAGAGTGAACTGGGGAAAAATTAAAGGGGTAGCAATCAGCAAAAGTTAGGTGACTTTGGGCCTCCCTGGTGGCGTAAGGGGTTAAACACAGCACTGTGAAGCTATCCACAGTCTCTGCAGCATGAGTTCGATCCTCAGCCAGCCAGGGCTCTACCCACATGGCACAGCAGACCTCTCCTGTCTCGCCTGCTGCTCCCCTCAGCAGTGTATTTCAGTAGATCTGCCTGTTCTGCTCCCCACTCTGTCTCTGGTGAATCCTCTCACCCCCGCATCTCTGGCCTACATTCCAGTTTCCAGTTCTTGTATAAATAAATAAATCTTAAAAAAAATTAGGTGACTTAGGTGCTGGGGGAGAGGGTAATTGATTGCTTTGAAAGATTTTTATCACTTTCCTATCTAGATTAATCTCATGACCTTTTAGAGTATGCAAATATATCCCCACACTCCACACATGATGGAGAGTCCATACCTGACACTGTATGTGGTGTCACATTGCTGCTGATTTCCAGGGAGGTTAAAGATCCTTCTGGCTAAGCTTTGCCCTTTATCTTTGCCACCTTTGAGTGTGGATCATGTCATGTTTGTTCCAAGCTCAGGACTTTTTCACTTAGTTCCTACAATTTGAAACAGATTCTAGATCTTTGTATGACTGTATGACTTTTCATTTTGTAGATCTCAAATCCTAGGTCACTATCTACTATGTGGGTTTTAAGCAAGGCTATAAAGACATGCCTGGGAAAACAGGGTATCTATTTATCCTGAATTACTTCTCTGACATTCTGTACAACTATGTTCCTGAATCAAAGTTAGGGTAACTTTTTTTAAAGGGGTCACTGAAGAAGGGATAACACATAGAAAAGAGAGGTTTAGTGGTGCTTGGGAGATTGGGTATCCCACAATTGTCTAGGCCTCCCACATGCAAGTGAGAGAAGGAAAAACACAACTCACCTACCACCCAAAGGAGGCTTTCCGTTTGTTGTTTGATATCATGTTTCGTAAAAATATGCATGCTGAAAAGTAAATGCTTAAAGCTAAAAGGAAAATGTTTATGATGCCCTGTTCTTACCAATAGTTTTTGAAAATGACGCTTTTTCCCTTAGCAATTGATGTTTGTTTTTGGTGGGGAGAGGGAGAGGAACAGATACATTTTAAATTAGTGCTACATCCATTTCAGTCCTGGAAAAATAAGTCAAGTGGAGGCATTATTCAAACACCATTTTTTAATTTCTTTTCTTTTTTTTTTTTGCTTTTCATGGGGTAACTAAAGTGGATATTTTGTTGAGAATATCCAGACTTAGGCTTAGGCTTGTACACGGAATCCTCAAAGCCATTAGATAGAACTGAATTGAACTAATTAATTCTAATATTTATATTGAGCCATAGACCTGAATTTTAGACCTAAGATATTTCCAAGAAATAGACCTAAGATTTTAGACCTAAGAGTTTCCAAGATATAGTAAAGTGCCCAATATGTTTGAAAAATTCTGGGTTAATGTTCAAGATCTACAAAGACTACATACAATTGAACAAAAAGAAAAATAACTAGATCAAAAAATGGGCAGAAGACCTAAATAGATATTTTCTCTAAAGGAATCCAGATGGGGCCTCCCCTGGTGGCACAGGCAGTTGAGTGCAGCGCTGTGAAGCTGTCTGCAGCATCTGCAACGCTGGTTCGATCCCAGGCAGCCAGCGAGGGTCCCACATGGTGCAGCAGACCTCTCCTGTCGCGCCCACTGCTCCCCTCTGCAGTGTATTTCGTCAGTCTGCCTGTTCTGTTCCCTGCTCTGTCTCTGGTGAATCCTCTCATCCTCCCACACATCTGGCCTGTTCCCCAGTTCTTTTATAAATAAATAAATAAATCTTAAAAAAAAAAAAGGGAATACAGATGGACAAAAAGTACATGAAAAACTGCTCAACACTTACTAGGGAAATGCAAATCAAAACCACAATGAGATATGACCTCAAATCTATGAGATATGCCCACTGATGTCAAAAAGACTGGAAACATTGAGGGTCTGGAGAAAAAGGAACACTTATATTCCATTGGTTGGAATGTAGATTGGTCTAACACTTAGGGAAAACAGTATGGTGGCTTCTCAAAATGTGAACAGATCTGCCACATGATCTAGCATTCCACTCCTAGTTATCTAATTGAATAATGCAAAAAATGCTGATTTGAAAGAATGTGCTTTTCTATTTGATTCATTGCACTGCTACGTACAATTCCCTGGTTATGGAAACAGCCTGAGTGTACAATGACAGATGAGTGGATTACAAATATGTGGTATATATATATATATATACAGTAGAATAACTGAGCTATAAAAATGATGTAATCTTGCCATTTGAGACAACATGGAATTGGAGATTATGCTAAGTGAGACAAATTAGAGGGCGAAACAAATACTGAATGATTTCACTCTATATGGAATATAAAGAAGACAAAGGAACTAACAAAAACCTAAACCAAAACAAACACTAAAAGTCTGATTGCAGAATTGATGCTGATGAGAGTCAAGAGAAAAATAATGGGGGAACTATAGTAGAGATTATTGGAACTTTGGTGGTGATTGTGTTGTGGTAACATATTTCAGAAGAGGTGTGAAGCCTTATCCCTAAATTTATACAGTATTTTAAGCCAGTGTAACCTCAGTTAAAATGATACAATTAAAATCTCCGAGTTAAGTAAGGTTTCTTTGTGTAGGACTGACTGGAACCTTTCGACAGCAGAGACTTTGACAGTGAACCAAACGAGGACTAATGTATGGCTGATTTCTCAAGCATGTGTGGTCATAGAAATGTTTTCCAAGTGAATCTTGAGTGAAATACACTTTAGAAAAGGTGTTTTGCTTATATGGCTGTGGATAGTTGGTCAGTAATCTAGAACTGTGACAGTCAGAAAGAATTTCAACCCAAAACATTCACCCAACCATTCAAGTTTCCTTCCAAGCCCCTAAATCTGTATTGTCTGTAACCTACTGCCAAGAGAGTATACCTAACTTCAGGTATCACTGAATTGGTAATTGAGTCACACTCAGGTATTACAGATTAGAGAACAAATAAGTCAGGACTGCTGTTCCCAAATATTGGACTCTTATTATTTACAAATATATTTTCTATATCTCAGGGGATATCATCTTGACCTAATCAGAGATTTTTAAGGGACACACTTTGTTTCACTAATTTATATTCCACTAGATCTCAGAATGTGTTGTCTTAATTAAGGTTTACAGCTTAGCAAAGGATCTATGGATGACTAAGACAAAATTTAATAAATATTTAATGACAAGTGATCAAGGAAAAGTGAATGTAAAAAGAGTAAGAAAAAGCCAGGAATAAGGTTATTCATGTTAGTTAATAACTGATGTTTGCCCGAGGTGTAGACATTTTATTCCAATGATTAAATATGCTATTAATATGAATAATAACGTGTGACTTGGATGAGACTGTAGGTGACAGCATGAAATGAAAATCTTCATTTTTCAAAACAGAAAGAAAACAGATTCCCTCATAAGCACTAAAGAATCACCCAGAAAAGTAAATTGAAACTGATTACAGAAAGCTCCCAAGCTGCAAAATTCATAAAGTTGTAATAACTCACAGAACTTCAGTTTCTAGCATTTATAAAATGTCTTTAAACATTGCTCAAAGGTAAAGACACCATTTGAAGGATAACTTCAAAATGAAAAACAACTCGCTTATCTCAATGTTTCATTTCTATTAAAATTTTTAATGTGGGATATTTTAGAAACTATATTGCTGCTTCAGATATTGAAGGTACAGTATTCCTTGAAGATCAAAGAAATCTCAGTTGACTTCAATGCATTGTGGGCCTGGTATCTTATGCTTTCAATGCTAATAAAGTTTAGAGTTCTAAAAAATGTTCAGTGATAGGTCACAATCTCCGGTTGCATTATTGTTTTAACAATTAAATTTCTATTTTAAAGCCACTTTCCAGATCTTGGTTATCAGAATATAGGTAAGGATGAATGACAAGTTATTCAATTTTTCTTTCTTTCACCAGATTCTTGATTGGGGGTGTTATTCAGTTGAATACTATATGGCTCATTTGAGTTCAGATTAATCCCTCTTTAAATCTTCTTCTCCCAAGATTTGCCAATATTTTTTTCACCTTTTTGTGTAATTTTTTTTAAATGGTATCAAAATCAGACTACTAAGAGTTCTTGTCAGTGGCCATTCCGTAGAAAGTCTTACCTCTCTCTAAAGCATGCACACATGCTATAATGAGCAGGAGAACCAGGACCCTCTTCATTTTCCTGCTGGCAAGTCCTCCAGGTAACCCAGTAAAAAATGGCAGCCCAAACGAACCAATTCCTTTTACTAAGAACTTGCAACTGCAAGCTAATCAATTATTAATCTTTACACAGAAGCAAGTGCAGTCATCCTTGGCTCACAAAAGAAAATATCATCAATCAAGGCAAATAGACAGAATGGGGAGAATGTGGTGGAAAACCTAGGAGATTTTAATCATTAACTTTGTTCAACTGCAAAAGTCACGGTATACATAGGATATTTTCCACTGTTAATTTTTGCTAAAATTTATTTAATGCATTATTGTGCACATTTCCTCCCTCTTTTATAGTATAAACTATACTTCTCATTTATTAACTTCTCATGTATAAACTCAGATGTTGTCTCTGTGTTTGTGTCTCTCTCTGTCATACTGCCTCTTTGTTTATTTTAAAATTTGCCCTCCTCTTTGTTTAAACCTACTACAAATAAGGATTACCTTAAAATATTGCAGACTAGATATTTTATGCAATAAGGAAAAGAGTGAGAAGCCAACTCATTACAATTAGCTTATACTCATCATTCACTGTTATTAAATATGATAGAAGACTGTCCACTACTCTTTGCAGCACTGACATAACATTTTTTGAAATAACTTGAAGTCATCCAGGTAACCACTAGCAGAGTTAAATGAGTTGTCTGAAATCACAGAAGTTAGTGACAATTCTTGGAGCATTTCAGCTAAAATTCTCTCTATTACTATATAATGAGTATATTTTAGGATAATATAATTTTTTTAAATAAATTTTTTTTATATTCCCCATACAATTGCAACCCCCTTATTTTGACCCTAATCCCTCCCCTCCCCACCCCCCCACCCCCCATAGACTGTCTCTGGTTCATAGTTTTTTGTTGATTTTGATTTTCACTTTCTTATAGTTATTCATTTTCCTGGTCCCTTATTTAAGTTCTCTAGATTCCTGCTATGAGTGAGACCATCCGGTATTTTTCTTTTTCTTTCTGGCTTATTTCGCTGAGCATGGTCCCTTCCAGCGCCATCCATGTTGCTGCAAATTGCATGTGTTTATCTTTTTTGAATGCTGAGTAATATTCCAGGGTGTATATGTACCACATCTTCTTGATCCAGTCATCTATTTTTGGGCATTTGGGTTGTTTCCAAAGCTTAGCTATTGTAAATAGTGCTGCTATAAACATAGGGGTGCAGGTGCTCTTTGGAATTGATGTTTCTGTGTCCTTTGGGTAAATACCTAGGAGTGGGATTGCTGGATCATATGGAAGCTCTATGTTTAGTAGGTCCAGAAATCTCTACACAGCTCTCCATAGTGGTTGGACCAGTTTGCACTCCCACCAGCAGTGCAGAAGAGTTCCTTTTTCTCCACAACCTCGCCAACATTTGTTGTTGCTAGTTTTTTTCATATGTGCCATTTTCACTGGTGTCAGATGGTATCTCATGGTAGTTTTGATTTGCATTTCCCTGATGACAAGTGATGTTGAACATTTTTTCATATGCCTGTTGGCCATTTGCATTTCCTCTTCAGAGAAGTTTCTTTTTAGCTCTTCTGCCCATTTTTGGACTGGATTATTTTCTTTGTTGTTGTTGAGTCTCATCAGCTCTTTGCAGATTTTTGTGATCAGTCCTTTATCATTAGTGTTGTGTGCAAAAATGTTCTCCCAGTTGGTGGGGTTTCTCTTTGTTTTTGTTATTGTCTCTTTTGCTGTGCAGAAGCTCTTTAATTTGATGTAGTCCCAGCTGTTTATCTTTGCCTTCACTATCACTCCTTTGGGTGATGTGTCTGTAAAGATGTCTTTGATGTGAATATCACGTATTGTTTCACCTATATTTAGGATAATATAATTTGAGAGATAATATCAGAGTGAACTTAATGTGAAATTCAACATCTCCATTTTACAGAAGAGGGCACTAAGGCCTACCTACATTCTTCCTGTACCCAACATGGCACAGGTGATTATTACTTATTGACATCAGCTTCCTGCAGTAGCCCTCTTTTTAGATGAAGGTTGGGTACAGAGGCTCTGGTATCAAATCTCTATTCAGTTCTTATTGGCTCTATAACTTTGGGAAATTATTTTGTCTAAGCCTCATTTTTCTCATATGCAAAAGTAGTGATAACTATTAGTACCTTTGACATAAGATTGTTGTGCAGGGTTTGCCAGAACATAGGACATGTGGTAACATACATTATTGTTAGCTATTACTCTTATTCTAGTTATTACTACATTCTCTATCATTTCTCCAAATTTATAATATATGAGAAGGTGATTGGAATTGAGGTTTGGAACTCGGTGGAAAATTTTAAAGTCAACCCTGTATCCTGGCTTTACAACTATTACAGATGAGTGATCTAGACTTATGTTACCAGTTTAGTAACAAAGGAGTAACTGCATGTTTAGATTCCCTCAAAATCTCAGACTGTACTGAACAGGTATATTTTTAGTCAAATTCTCTCTGTATGCATTTAAAATACAGTAACTTGAGTGTTAGGTTCAGAAAACAGATTCTAGCTAGTTGCAAAAAAAGACAACTAAGCAGTTATCAAAGCAGAGTTAGGTCTGTAAGGCCAATAGAAATCCATAAGATACAGGGAGGTTAGCAGATATGTACTGTAAGCTCTGCCAAAGGCAACGTGGGAAGATAGGCTTGCTGTTTAAGGATCAATTCTATGCTGGTCAAAGACCAGCTTCCTGATTATTACAAACTTTCTTAACTTTTCCTTTGACTAAACTAGCTTATTTTTCACATTAATTACAAAATGTATTTTAATCTTACTGTAAATTATTTGAAGATAAAGAAACTCTTGAGTGTCAGATTTTCAAAATAACTGAGAAACCAGAGCTGGGAAGATAACTATTAACATAGTGTAGTTTCCATTTTCATGATAATATAGCATATGCACATTTTTATACTTTAACAGTACCTCAATCATGTCTTCTGATTAATTCATTCAAAGATACACTTGTTTCCCATGGATTTTGCTACAGAGCTAAAAACCAGTCTTTTCATTTTTAAAAACAACATAACTTTATCTCTGTTTTTGCAATAACATTTATCACTTTTGTCTAATGATAAACTACTTGTAGCAAGAGTTGCAACATCTCATTTGGGTGTCCTATTAAGAAATCACTGCATAAGCTGCCAAATGCATTCTTTGGCCAAGTTTATCTTTTCCTAACTGAAATGTTAGAAAGATGTTAGTAGCTAAATATAAGAACCTTCTACGTCTTATTTGTGTAACTCCTTAATCTTTCAAATGTTGATTGTTTACAGCTATTCTAAAACTGGGAAGAAAGTACCATGCTGGGCTTAAGTGAAAAGTCTCATGTTGCAGTGATTACTTTAGTAAGTCAGAGGGGGAGAAAAGGATGAAAATACCAAACCGTGTCTTCTGATATTGTTATAGCAGCTTTACAGCAACTCAAATTTATCACAGAAATGGATTTTTAAAGAAGTATTCATTCAGTATTTAAGTAGTGAAATTTACAGGAATTGTTTTGCCTGTAAAGAATGAATTTGAAGTAATCTCTCTTTTAATTGTATCTTACCGTGGCTTCAGAAGAAATGTAGGTTTGTCCTTTAATAAGGCGAGTTCGAGGCAAAATTGTGAGATGAACAAAGCCCATCTTTAGTTCTTTTCCCTGTCAGTCTCTTCTTTTAGGTCTTGCACTCATATAGTTAACATTTTTATGCTGTTAACTGTTTTAGAAATTCTTCCTTTATAGCATTACATATAGTAGAAATGACCTCCTTCAAAATAATCTCATTTACCAGAGCACTCTTAATTCAGATTCTTTTAATATTATATAGAAATTATATAAAATAATAAAATTATTATTGAAGTACATTATCAGTAACTTTTTGATAACCAGATAAAACATGTCAGTATCATAAGGTAACACTGCTGCTGCTCAGTTGATTAACTGGGCAGACAGAGCACAATGTCAGTTGCAGGATGCTCTAGTAGCCCAGCCATTTTTCTGACTAGAATTCCAAGATTCTTATAATAAATCTCCCTTTCATTTAAGTTTATTCAAGCTGCATTTCTGTGAGTTGCAATTATAAACTTTCTAATATTATTTATTTTTATTGAAGTACCATTATTTTACATCCTTTCTAATGTTTTGACAGTGGAGGGTTTCCTCTCAGCTTGTTGCCACCATAGCTCTCCCACCACCAAAGCACCTGTAGTTTTCCCATAGTCCATTGTACTCTTCCCCCTCCATCACACCCCTCTTCTCCCACCTCTCTGAAAACCACAAATCTATGGTCAGCATTCAGAGGTTTGGTTTTAGAATTTGTCTTTGACCCTTTGTTTGGGTTTTTCTATACTCCACATAAAAGTGAGACCATCTGGTATTTATTTATTTTTTTCCTTCTGGTTTATTTCACTTAGCATAATCACCTTGAGGTACAGCCCTTTTGTTCCAAAAGACACTACTTCATCTTTTTAAATAGCTGTGTAGTATATTCCATTGAGGATATATTCCAAAATGTCTTTATTCATTGTTGATGGGCATTTAGGTTGGTTCTGTGACTTGGCAATTGTGGACAGTGCTGCTCTGAACACAGGTGTACATAAGTCTTCTCATATTAGGGTTTTCATATTTTTTTCAGGGTATTACTGGATCATATGGGTTTCCATTTTTATTTTTTTATTTTTTGGGGGGGACCCTCGCCAGTGGCCAGGGAACTAACCGGTGCTGCAGAGGCTGAGGGCAGCCTCACAGCCCAGCACTCAACCACTGCACCACCAGGGGAGGCCCTCCATTTTTATTTTCTTAAGATAGCACCACATTGTTTCCTATAAAGTCATTTAGAAAGCAATGTGGACCCACCTTAAAAAACTAAAAAGGGATATACCATATGATCTAGCAGTCTCATGTTTGGGTACCCATTAAATATGAAACCATTAACTCTAAAATATATGTTCCACAATGATTGTTTTGGCATTATTTACAATAGCTAGGATTTGGAAATGAGTGGCCATTTGATAGAGGAT